CCCCCACCCATCCTGCTGACTATTAATCAGCCACTCAGGTTTACATCTATCAATAGCATTTTAATTACACGGGTCTTTTCGTATCATTCCATTAACATCGGCAAAGACACTTATAATTTGTTAATTTGTGTGTGTCTGTGTGTGTGTGATTCTGAATTTGTTGTTATAATTATTTTTTTATGCCACCTGGGTTTTGTATGCATAAATGTCTCCCATCCTGGAAGACTCACGCTTTAAGTCCTTTTTCTAAAAGTTATTGATGGAATCAAATTTTACGCCGAAATGACAAAAGATGCTGGCGCCAATGATAATGACTTGCGTTTTTGCCGTGGCTTTGTGGACTGAACCCACAGGATTTCACAAATGGTCGTGGCCCATTGAAAAAAACATTTCTTGCATCACCCAAAAGACAGGAACAACTGCATAGCTGCACAACGTACATGAACCCTTCACACACTGCTGAAACAATTACAGAAATGACCCTAAGTACACATTAAACCCAATACATTGTCTTTATACAGTTATAAAAATGGTAAAGACATGCAGGGGTTGTTGAAACTTTCACAAATTCATATTTTTGACGTCACTTCTGTGCTCCATACATTTAAGTGTTGATTAGTTGCTGTACAGTCAGTCCCTATTCTCCGGGAATAGGGTGATAGTGTAAAATAAATATATAGATTTTTTTTTTAAATTACTTTGGCCGGGATAGCGTTCAGCAGGTGCTGGAGTGGGCAGAATTCCCTCAAGACGGACGGCTGGCTCTCCATGTTTCAATTCTGCTGAGGAAAAAAAAAATATTTCTTATCCAAAAGTGATGCTTACAAGTGTTCAGTAAACGTTTGAAGGTTGTTTTTTTATGTCATTACTACAATATGATACCAACAGTGCCGGAAAGTTGCTATTTGCCAATCTAGTCAAAGATAACAACAACGGGAAGCAGAATGTGAATTGACAAAAACACACACGGCGTCAGTGTGTGTTTGAGCTAGCCAGCTCGAGCCAACGCTAAGCTAACAACCAAGCGTTAGCACGGCCAGCTAACATTATTCATATCGGGAGAAAATGTCACACTCACGGTTTAATGTTGGGTGGAATAAGTCGCTCGGTTGTCCGTCCAGATGTTGTTCATCCCATCAGCAACTGGATGGTAAACAGAGACGACATCGCCCTGTCAATCCAGCAGACGTCATATTGTAATCGTCATCTAAACGCGTCTGTCTCCTGCTACCCGCCATTTGAGTTGTGACGCCATCTTCATGCGTTGTGTTTTTTTTTATTTCTATTTTTCCTCACTCTATCATTCAAATTAAAACACTGACAATTCGAAAAATCTACATTTCAACATGCCAATGTGTTTTTTGTGTGCAGTTGTTTCCACATTACGCCGAGATGAAATTACGTCGAAAGAATTGATGAAAGCAAAACGGGGACGAATGGAAAACCCGGAAAGTGGAGTTTACGACTCATTTCAAAAAAATCATAATAATAATCGATCTCACAATAGAGCCAGTTATTGGGGCGGGGGGACAATGCCATTTTCGGATTCAGGTCCATCAAAATAATCGAAACAGACTGAGAATTTGTTGGTACAAAAATTTGTTGATCAGTGTTATCAAATTGTGTTTAAAGATCTTAAACAAAATGTTGAAGTGCGACAAAAATAGGTAGGCACTCCAAATTGTCCCGAGGTGTGAGTGTGAGCGCGGATGGTTGTTCGTCTCCATGTGCCCTGCGATTGGCTGACAACCGGTTCAGGGTGTCCCCCGCCTACTGCCCGAAGACAGCTGGGATAGGCTCCAGCACCCCTCGCGACCCTTGTGAGGAAAAGCGGATCGGAAAATGAATGAATGAATGAATGAAAAATAGGTAGGGTGTATTGTCACATTTTAGAGAAGAACATAAACCCCGCGTTTTTTTTAACTATAACCTGACGTGGGAACTGACTCCGGTAATCCAGTCCGCAGTTTTTGGCTTCCTGCCTGGAGCAGCTAGGTGAAGGCTAAGCTAGGCTATCTGAAAAACTCCAAGGTTCCGTCATCTGCGCCTCGTTTTTTCTCCTCCGGTGTTCATGTTGTTCTTCACTGCAGCGGGGCATTTCACTTACAAACGCGCACATATTCTCGACGACGGTCGACTGATTTAGTCGCGTGGCGTTACGATTGCATTTCCTTTGAGGCGCAGTCTGGTTCCCTGTTAGCCGCGTAGCTAGCAGCAGCCGCGCAGCCAAAATGGCGGACAACGAGGATGAGCGCGGGACTGGGAGAACAATAACAGCCGCGGAACCTCCTCGCTCACCGGCTCACACCCACGCCCCGGACTCCACGCAGGCCGAGAACGCCACCGCGCCGGAGCCCGTCGACCCCAGCACCGAGCCGGCCGAGTGTACCCCAGCCGCGACGCCCGGGGCGCGCGCGGAAAACTCGCCCGCGGTGTGCGGCGAGGAGAGCGACCACCCCGGGGATCTGCCCCAGACAGTTTCCGCTGTTGCCCCCGTGGTCGCGGAGTCCCAGCTGGTGGACTTTTTACAGACGGAGCAAAGCATCTTGGTGGGCACCGAGTTCTCCAGCTTGGGCGCGGACATGAGCAACACCACCATCATCTACGTGCAGCCAGACGGCAGCCTGATGGAGGGCTCCGGGCTCACCCCGGAGGAACAACAGGCGCTGCTGGAGCAGCTCAGCAAGCAGCAGGTGGTTCAAGTGTCGGATAGCGAGGCCGCCCAGCTGCTCCAGCAGAGCCAGGCCGTCAAAAGCAGCCCCGTCCACGGGGCGGCTCTCAACCCCAGCCAGCTGCAGCAGGTCATCAGCCAGGTGAGCAGCAAGAACCAGCAGCAGATCCAGACGACGACGACGACGACGCCGCCACAGCAGCAGGTCCAGACCACGCAAATAGTCAAACAGATAGCCCAAGTCCAGACCCCGCAGCAGCCTGTCAAACAAATAGTTCAGATTCAGACCCCGCAGCCGACAGTCAAACAGCTAGTCCAAGTCCAGACTCCGCAGCAGGCGGTGAAGCAGATAGTCCAGGTTCAGACCCCACAGCAGGCTGTAAAACAAGTAGTCCAGGTCCAGAATGCCTCCCAGCACCTGAAAAGCGTTGGCCAGCAGGCTACTTTGCAGGGCAGCGGCAGCACGAGCACAGTCCACTTGACTCAATCCAAGGTACGCACACCACACAAACTCTCAAATGACATCAATAGACGGAAGCATCATCCCGATTGACCTTTCAACTTGACATGACACATTCAGGTGGAAGAAGACAGTGAAGCTTCAGTGTCATTTGCTTTCGGCATAGTGCTTGAGAAAACGGCTCGAACGATCATTTTTGCCTTCCTGGTTGGAATATGTCGAGTGTCATTCGTAAACGGGGACGGTACGGGACCCCTGCAACCTTCTTTGTCCAATTAGATATGACAGCCAGTGGATTGATCCTCCTCGCAAGATCGGCTCATTCACCGTCAGCCGTTTTCAAAACGCGACTTCTCCATATTCCCCGCCATGTTAGAGCACTTTGACGGATCTTTCGAGAACCACAGAATTTTGTGTTCTGTGACAACGTAAGCACCAGAAAGTACGGTCGACTCCTTGGCCCCCGACCTTTTTCTATTCTGTAATAATCCGAAAACTCCAGTTTCTGGCCAAATGGCTGAGACGATTTGCTTTTCGTGTCATATGGCTCTGATACGCTGTGCTCAAATTCAAAGCGATCCAACGACGCCATTTACAAGGATCTGATAGATATGACAGCGGGTACGGCAGTTAAATGGTTTATAACGAGACCGATATAATTCATCAATGTAAAGTTACGCAAGCGTTGTCCCTGAACGTTTTTGGAATGTTGATTTTCCTTTTCTACGTCCAGGCGGAACCAGTCAGGATCCAGATTCAGGCTCCTCCCAAACAGGAAGTGAAGCTCCGCCCCCCCTCCCAGCAGCACGGCAGTCAACCGCAGGTGACGCTGTCGACCAACGGCAGCACTCAGATCATCCACATCCAGCCAGTGGTGGCTCAGCAGGGCCAGCAGTTGTTCCTGCAGCAGAACTTGGGCGACGCCCCCATCCAGCTGCTCCTCCAGAGCCCCGCCCCCGTGGTGGGATCTTTGCTCCCATTGGTCCACAAGCTGCCGGCCGCCGCCAAGACGCCGCCCGCCTCCACCGCCGTCCCCACCGTTAAACTGGCCAACGTGTCGCTGCTCAAGACCCCCGCCAATGGCGCCGCCCCGTCCCCCGGTAAGACTCTGCTCAAACAGACCGCCGCCCCCGCGGTACAGGCCAGCCCCTCCGCAGCGGGCCCGCCAGCCGCAGTCGCCCCTCTTGCGGCCAAGGATCGAGACAAAGAGAAGGCCAGGAAGCAGAAGAAGAAAGAGAAGAAGGCGGTCAAGGTGCAGACCAGGTCGGGGCGGGTCTCAAGACCGCCTAAGTACAAAGCCAAAGACTACAAGTTCATCAAGACCGAGGACCTGGCCGAGAGCCACCAGTCGGACTCGGACGACTACTCGGACATGAGCATGGAGGACGAGGAGCGAAAGGACGGCGCCCGAGACGCCGACGCCTCGCTGGCCTACAGCCACAAGTCCAGGTCCCACCCTTGCCAGACCTGCGACAAGGCCTACATCGGACCGGGAGGACTCAATCGCCACTACAAGCTCAATCCCAGCCACGGAGAACCCGAGCCGATGGGCGAAGCAGCGCCGCAAACCGGCGCCGACGACGGAGAGGCGCAAACGGATGCCCCAGAAATGACGGACGAGACGCCGCCGGACGCCGCCAAGGAAGAGGAAACGGAGGCGAAAGATGCTGCCATGGCAGTTGACAAAGTACGGCGCTCGTGAACTCATTCGATATCGTTCACCCTTGTTCCATTTAGCTGCTCATATGGGACTGATATGCGATTTGTATATCGTAGGGGGACACCCCCCTAGTAATTGGCCAATGAAGCTAACGTTACCGTTTCATGCTAGTCAGCGCGACGTACGAACCAACTGGTCATTCTGTTAGCTTTATGTGCTAATCAGTGCTACGGGATACCGAACTGATCGTTCTCTTAGTTCTACGTGGTAATCCGTCACCTCTGCATGCCGTTTAGCGATACGTATGAACTCATTGCTCTGTGACGTCAAAATGCTTCAATTACCCGTACTCGCTAAGCATTTCGACATGCTAATCAGCTGCTCATTCAGGTACCTCTGCTTGCTAATTAGCCGATTGCTTCGTTGTCTCAGGAGTCGGGCCCGGCGGCATCTTCCGGAGGATTCCGCGGCGTCCACCACCGGGGTCCGGGCAGGCCCCGCGGTCGAGGTCGAGGGAGGGGGCGCGGACGGGGTCGAGGCAGGGGCAGGGGCCGGTCCCTGGGGGCGCCAGCCAAGGTGAGATTACTCCCAACTGTCAACACATTGAAAGGAACACAGAGTGGCTTACGAGTCGACGCGTGCCGAAGTTCGTTCAGGTGTCGGGCAGCCTCAGCCTTATGGGCCGGCGGGGACGCCCCGGGCGGCCCCCCAAGCTGGGCGGCGGCATGGCGAGCGCCGAGCTGCAGGCGGCGAGGAGACGCGAGCGACTGCAGGAGGTTTGCTTGATGGTCGGCCGCTTCGTAAGCGCCTCGCGTGCGTTTCTCTGACGGCCGCCTTGCCCCGTCTGCAGCTGGCGGATCAGTGCGAGGACGAGGAGCTGATGGACGTCGTCCTTCCTCGTCTCACCAAAGTCTTAAGCGTGTGGGAGTTGCTGCTGGCCAAGGTATCAACACAAACGCACATTCCAGACTGGCGTATGCGCAAGTCGGAAGTCTCCGGTCAGCGGGGCAGCCGTAGAGCGGGCGAAGAAGGCCAAAACGCCGTCTCGTGTGTTCCAGGTGGAGCGCAGCGGTCCGGCTCGAACTCACTTTCCGGAAGTTTACCGCGAGTTCGAATCATTGCAGGCGCAAGTGAGGCAGGCCGCGCAGGATTACATCATAGCGCCACAAGGAGGAGCCGCACCCCTGGAGATCCGGAACATCGAGGTGAGAGCTTCTGGGAGGAGCTGAAAAAGTTTGATGCCGCAAGACGGAATTTGCTACGTCCGAAGGAGACGAACAAAGTCTCCGCGAGCCGTGCCCGAAAAGGCCAAGGCGGTCCGCCGCTTTGTTTGAAAGCGGCCATTTTGTTCAGTGCCGTCGCGTGCTCGTAGGTGGCGCGGTCTCTGGGCATCCTTGACGAGGTGAACCGGATGAAGGTCGTCCCTGGCGCGTCTCCGGCATCCGGCGTAGGCAACAAAAGTAGCCGTTACATGGAGGTAAGCTCCCAAAGTGCCCTGACTTGATCCCGCTCGGGCCACCAAACGTGGTCTTTGTCCCCCCCCCCCGCCCGCAGAACTCCAAGATGCTGCCGCCATCCAAGCGCTTCAAGATGGAGAACAGCGTTCCTCTGCAGCACAACGGCATCGAGAGAGCGGCTCTCTCCGTCGGAGAGGGCGGCGGACCTTCGCCTGCTTCAAATCTTGACCTCGGATCTTCTGCCGCCCGAGTTGTGAGCTCCGCGTCCCCCGTGGTGACCTCCGCGTCCCCCGTGGTGACCTCCGTGGCCCCCGTGACGCCCACGTCCACGCCTTGCGCCGCCGCCTCCTCCATGGCCATGCCGCTGCTTCCCAGTGAAGCCAAACCGTGAGTGATGCTCCGCACGCGACGCGTCCAAATGTCATTCGGAGTCACGTGTCCCGTCCCTGGCCGTTTTGCCGCCCGGCGTCGACCGGAAATGACATGGCGGCGACGGCGCAGGGGCTCGGGTCGCAGCTCGCCCGCTTTCTGGAGCCGAGCCGCTGCGATGTCATCTTCAAGTCGACCGGAAGCGGCAAAACAGAGATGGACAAAATAAGGTGGACTTGACGACTTCATTTAATCGGAACGGCGTGTTTAGACCAGTGGGGCGACAGACAACATCCTACGGTCAATGGCGCTCGACTTCCTCTTTCACCATGCTGGTAGCAGACATTTCAAGAGTCTTTAATAAAAGTCTCGCGTCACACGGGCACACTTGGTTGGCTGTCTCATGCAAATCGTGACGATGGCGTTCGCGGCCACGATGACCAGGGGCGGAGCTAACAAAGCAAAGACGACTCCATTTTGACAACTAAGCACTCGAGTCCCCCCAGACTGTTTCGCTTTTCCCAAAGTGTCAAGACGCCTATCGAGCCACTTTGCCCACATCCGCCGCAAGATCATTTCTACCGTTCCTTGTACGGCGACGTAACCGTGAACTGATGGTGGGCCGGTTGTTGCGATTGTGACTGCTCCCATCCCGTGGCAGACCCTCAGAGGTCGTCTTTTTTTTTTTTTTGCACACAAACGAGTTGACTTATGAGTGCGGTTTGTGCCCATTGCCACTAGATGGCAGTAGCAGAAATCACAACATCCGCCCGCTATTGATTGTGAAAGGTAGAAAGGAGACACTGTCGATTTTTTTTTTTTTTTGGGAAGGGCTGGAGCATATTAATAGCGCTTGAATTCTCTTCCGCTGGGGAAAGTTGATGTGAGACGAAAGGGATTTGATTTGAGAGCACGGTCAAAGAGTGAGTCAGAGGTACCTCAGTGCTCATCTTGAGTATTTGCCCCCGCAGCTCCACGAGTCCCGTCCAGGCTCCTCCAGCCGCCACCGCCATGGAGGTGACCACGGCCGAGCCGCAGGCCGCAGAAGCGCCGCCGCCAACACCAACGCCAACGGAGGGTCCCGCCCCCGTGCCGGCCCCAAGCGAGCAGGCCCAGGAACCCGAGAAGCTTCCGGAGCCCGAGAAGCTTCCGGAAACGTGTCTGGTGCAGGAGGGCCAGGAGATCTACATCGAGACGGACGGCCTGAGCGACGCGGACGGCATCGTCATCGTCAACGGGCCGGACGGGACCACCATGCACATCCAGACTCCGGACGGCGTCCCCCTGGAGGCGGTGCAGGCCCTGCTGGGCATCGAGGCGGCCGACCCCGGCAAAGCCAGCTGAGCGGACTTTTGTTACGGAACCTCCCGGAACAAAGCGGCTCGACGAAACCCCACCCGAGGCAAATTGTGCCGTTGGCCGTCTGGCTCGCTTCCATCGGGGAGGTTTGCGTGACGCAGACCGCATACGGAACTTTCTGGAGAGCGGCGAGGTCACCGGCCAATCGCAGACTTCATTTTCAAGGCAAGTCTGCAATTGGCTGTTTCGCCGGCGTTGCTCCGGTCTTGGACTTTGTCACGGAAACCTTCTGGAACGAAGCGGTCCGAGACAGGGTCGGCGAACTCGTGGAAGAAGGGGAACTAGCGGCTGCTTGGCAAGTCTTGGACTTTGTTACGGAATGAAATCCGGAGAACGCTCCGTTCCGGAAGATTCCGTCACCAGAGACCACGTATGGAACTTTGCGGAAGAAACCAAGGCGGCGATTGGCCGTCTCGCCGGCTCATTCCCGCTCTTGGGACTTGGTGGCGGAACCTTCCGGAAGAGAGCCCTGAGGAAAGAGCGCAGCGTGGTGAGCCGTCGCAGCTTTCCGGAGCGAGGCTGCCGAACGGCAAAAATCGGACAGTTTGGAACGCTCCTTTTGGTTCCTATTTATTTCTCACGTTGCGCTCTTCTCCTCCACACCGTTGCGATCCAAACATGATTCGGAGCGCGACCGTCAAGCGATGATTTGATTTTTAAGAGCTTGTTGTAAATGTTCCTTTTCATATTTGCGTTGTGAATATGTAGATAAATGTGAGAAACAAAGCTGCGCTATTTTTACGACTTTTGGGCTCGTGTACGCCCGGCCGGCGCTCGTTGGTCTCGCTTCCTGTTTTCACAATAAAAGCCATTGTCAACCGGGAAGGTGTCGCTGGCCCGTCTCCAGCAGGACCGCCTCCAGGGCCAGGCGGGCGCGCGCCGGCACCAGCGGCTGGTGGAGCCAGCACGAAAGGTACACCAAGCTCAGGTCCCGGTCGGCGCAGTGCGCCACTTCCCGGAGCAGGACGCGCTTCAGACGCAGCTCCGACGTGAACGACCGCAGCAGGAGGCCGCACGAAGACACTGGGAACACAACCACACGCAACGCCGTTCACGACACTTTCTAGAACTCCCCCTTTCACACTGCAACAGGTGACTTTCAGACAGGCTTCCCGTGTAAGATTTAAAACCTTTGCCGTCCGTCACCCTTTTCACGTCACCTTGGCAACTTGCATCCTTTTTGGAGCCCCTTTCAAACTGCAATGTTCGCCTTTTTTTAGCCGCTTTAACACATTTCACACAAAGTGTACCTCTTTGTGCCCCTTTCACACCGTCTTTCTTCTACAAGTCACCTTTCCGCAGTTACTTTCACATCGTCTATACCTCTTTTTAAAAATACGTTTGCAACACCATCTTTCTTAGACACGTACCTTTCTCTAGCCCCTTTCACGCTGCTACACTTACCTCAATAGTTTCTGCAATTGAGCATTTTGTATCCCCCTTCACGCCACCTTTCTAATTTATATATTTCTCAGTAGCCCCTTTCAGGCTAGCTGGAAGAGTTTACGTTTTCAATAGCCCCTTTGTGGCCCTTTTCCACATGAATCTTTCATTTCTTTCTACCATCTACCTTTAACACTGCATTTCTGCACAAATAGCACCTCCTTTTCTGGTCCACATTTATCTTTCTGGAGCTGCTTTGATGCTGCAACATGCACCTTTCTACAAACATGGCCAAAATTAACTTTGCGAGCCCCTTTCAGACCCTATTTCTGCCACACGCACCTCGCGTGTTACCTTTTCCGTAGCCACTTTCAGATTGTCTTTCATGAACGTTGACAGTTCTGAGGCCCCTTGTTGAAATGTCTCACGCTTCTGAAGCCACTTTAACACGACCTCTCCATTCAGCGTTGACTTTCTACAGCTCTTTTCACGCCGCCCTTACACTACGTTTTGGTAGCCCCGATTTCAGTAACTGTTATCACATCACCATTCGCGAGCCCCTTTACCACTGTCTTATCTGTAGCCTTTCATTCACTCTGTCCATCAAAAGCCCCTCCCTCGTTGACGCACATCTGACTTAGCAGAAAGCTTCATCCAGCGGAGTTAGCGATAAGGGGCGGTAGCGAAGCCTCACCAAAGTCTTTGGCATTCCAGCCGTGGAAGAGCGGAACCTTCCTGCCTTGGGGCCCAAACTGAAATTCCTCCAGGTCCACCAGGCCTCGCTGCGACGCCATCAGCCGCTCCATCTTGGCCACGATGGCCGCCTGGCAAAAGGGCTCCCCGTTAGACCGTCACGGTGCCGACAAACGCTTGCAACGCCGCGTGGAATTACGATGTATCGGTCACCATTTTGTTGACGACGTCCTCCAGTTTTTCACATTCCTCACGAAGCGCCGAGTTCCCCAGCACGAGATCCCCCGAAGATCCTTCCGCCTCGCCGCTGCACAGGGGTGAGACAGAGGCGCTAAGATGAGCACACAAGCCGGTTAGCACGCTAGGCTAAGGCTATGTTGACCTGAGGTGCGGAGCTCCGTTTAGAGAAACGCGGTGCTCTGGGCCAAAAAATGATGTTCAATTGTGTGGAAGGAGCTTTCATTGAGACTATCTGATTGCATCTCGGTGCCGTGGAACAAATGAGCTTTTAGACAAATCAAGTCCTTCCGTCTGCTGTGGTGCTTAGGAACTATGCTGATATGAGTTGAGGAGCTTCATCCAGACCAAAGTAGTGCGTTGTCACCATTTAGTGGCATCTAGACTACAGGTCATTATAACCTTTGTTTTGGATCCATCACTTTGCATGGCAGGTTTTCATTGGATGTAAGCGATAAGCGTCAAAATGGCTTTTTAAAAAAATCTGGAAGTGTTTTAGTGTGTCTGCTGTGACTTGACATGAACTTTTAGTTCCAAGAGTGAGCGGTCACCTGCTTCTCCTGGCGTTGACGATGTTTGACGCGATGGTGAAGCCTTCATCGTTGAGCTTCTCCCAGCGCAGCATTAAGTTGTGCCAGTCGGCTGCGTTGTCCTTCAGTTTGCGGCCACTTCCGGTGACGGCCGAGCATTTTCTGTTCACGTTGGTGACGTCGCCTGGTCAGGACACATGATGAACGTTCCAATCTAGCGGAAGACCCTCCCACATAACACGCTTCGTATAAGCCATTTTCAACACGGCTTCAATTTAGTAATCGGTCAAGTGAGGGTGTGAAATTTTAAAAATCACTGAGTTTTGTTTACATACACGAAGGGTGGATGGAGGAAATAAATGGCAATATTCAAGACTTCGATTCAAAACCAAATTACTTGACCTGCAAGGTCAAACTCGGCGGTCAAACTGCAAAATAAGATCAGTACCACAGATGTTTCCGAACAATCACATGACACCGTGTGGTTTACTTTACCTTCCATGTGTTTCGAATCCCTCCGGACGCCGTACGATGACTTCCTGAATTTTCCTTCGTCGGTGGTGCGGGTGAGTGTCCGATGATCCGTTGCCGCCCCCTGCTGGCGCAAATTTCTAACCCGACGTTTTGTGGTTACATCAACATTTTAATGTATTTCAGTTTGGTTAGTCCACAAGACAAGTTTTACACGATATAAAAGGTGAATTACTTTGATATATTACTATTTAAAGACATCGATTATGGGTTATGTGACGACGGGTACTCCCGGTAGCGCTTCCATTTTTGGGCATATTTTGATTGGCGCGATTCCCAGTTTTTCTTAAATGTGTGGACAGGTTTATGGAGTATAAAGTCAGGATCTGAATTGTGAAATCAATCAGTTCAATTGAGTTCAACACCATCTTTGAGAGGTTTCACACTTTTCACAGGTGGGAACACGCGACTTGGAGCAAAATGCGTTTTGAGTGCCGAAATGCTTCTTGGAAAAACGGGATGGGGTTTAGTCATCTCTGGCGCTTTATATTCACTCAAGTCATTGTAGGTAAGAGTTTTTTGTTTTTATTTGTGGAAATATTTGATACATGGCATCAACTCTTCATTTTAGAGTCTTCTAAAATGTCACAAACTTGAACAGTTGTATTTTCAAAAAGAGTATTTACAAAGTCAAACATAAGGTATGTAAAAAAAAAAAAAAAAAAAAAGGCCGTTTGACAATGGGCGGAGGTTGCGAGCGTCACTCAGAAGCTTCGTCGTCTTCTTTGGCTTTCTTCTTCTTTTTCTTCTTTTTGCCACTTTCAAGCTGCAAACAGAGAAAAACGTTGGCCGTGTGGAACGGTTCCGATTTGGGTGGACACGGCGAATTCTTGAGAAAAAGCTCAAGTTGGAAACGAGCAAAAGAAGACAGAAATGTTCTTCCGTCATTTTTGGCGCACAAACCTCTACTTGTGACTCGACGGGCTCCGCCGTCGTTCCATCCTCCGTTTCGGCGTCGACCGTCTTGGCGCGCTTCTCTTTTTTCTTCTTTTTCTTCTCTTTGGGCATCTCCTCGGTGGCCGGCGCGACTTCCGCTTCGCTGTCCGCCGTCTCCCTCTTCCTCTGCGTAACAGAAGAAGAAACGGGGGTGTGAGGTGAGGGAGGGAAGCTATGAGACGAGCCGATGTGGGCTTTTTACCTTCGTTGGCGCGCTGGGTGCTTCTGACTCTTTTGCGGCAGCGCTGGCACTGTCAGGTCAAAAACAGACAAAGGCTTGGCGTTAACGTCAATCTGACAGCTGGGAAAAGTCTTTTCTTGAAAATATGACTGCGCGTACACATGCCAAAAACGAGGCCAGAATAAATCAATTCCAAACTTTTGCCACTATTGTGGCTGACAAACTCCACAACAGAAAAAAAATGGAGAGCATAGAAACAGTTGGTGGCAGCCGCTTATAAATGGACACCCGCCACTAAAGCGCCCCACAAACCTAAATAAAGTTCAGCTGTTCTAGTCAACATTGTGGCCTATTTTTATTTTAAATAATGAGTGGACTTCACATCGGCGGCATCGCTTCATTTTTTATGACAATTAAAAGATGCATTCAGACGAAGGTGTACTCAGCGCGGCCATCGCCGAGCGTCGGCCGAGCGAAGAGGCCACGCGGAGAGTCCCTGTGGCAGAGTGACTCCCTGGAAGAGGACGGCACACCTCAGCCAGGGATAACCCTCTGCGAGCGCGCACGCGCCCTCGCAAGGTGGACAGCTCTTTTTGTTAACCCCCCTGCCCCGAATTAAAAATGCTTTAAAAGTCAAACTCCCTATGCCGTTGAGAAAAGGAAAGCGCCCCCACCTGTAGTCCACGTAGTCGGCCCTCCACGCGTCGGGCGTGCTTCCGTTGGGCTTTCCGTGCTTGTCCAGAAGTCCTTTCTGGATCATCATCTTCTTCTGACTGGCCTGACGGGACGCGAATGACCGACGGTCAACAAAACCCAGTTGACGGGCGGGCGGGCGGGCTCGGCGCCAGCGAATCGGTGGCGTTCGATCGCGCGTTACCTTGGGCCCGAGCCCCCACTTGCGCGGGTAGGTGTCTCGCTCCATGATGACGCGCTTGATCTTGGCCACCACGCCGTGGTCGCACGTGGAGATGACCGCCGTTGTCATCAGGGCCACAGCTGACATTGGGGGGGGACATCAGCATTTTCGTTTTTTGCTAAAACTATCAAAATAGACTGCCAAAAATATTTACAATGAAAAAAATAGTCAAAAGGCTTACTGCCCCAACAAGAGAATTCTATTCAAATAAGACGATTGGCACAAAATGTTTAACCACAACACGTGGCATCAAAACGCACTAAACTTCATTGGGGGGGAGGGAAAAAAAAATATCCCCATGCCACACAAGAGAATTCTATTCAAAGAATTTCCAACCAACCCGCCCAAACATTTTCAATTAATATCAAAAACAACTCAGCCCCTAATAAATACGAAATATGCCAGCAAAAATATTTCGGCATCAAAACTGTAAAAATCAACATATACCCCATTCTTGCAAATTCCGACGGAGTCTCAAACACGTCTTTTTTTTTTTGGGGGGGGGGGGCATCAAAAGGACACCCCGTACGACAAAGGAGGGCCATCAGACAAGGGTGATAGATAAGCAGGTCAGCACAGCCCGGGGGCTCTTGCATCTACACGTGTCATCATGTGGCCCCCCCCCTCCTCCAGCCCCCGTACGCACACCAAACGCGGGCGCACCTGTGCAAATGGCTTCCCCCTTGGTGGTGATGACCACGATGTCCTGGTTGATTTCGATGCCGTCCTCGTAGCGGAGGACGCCGGGCAACATGATCTTGGCGCCGTAGCAGATGGCGTTGACCTGAGGACAGACGCCCCGCCGCGTCAAACGCCAGCGGGGGGGGGGGGCGACGCGGCGGCAACCGACGGAGGGGGAGGGGAAAACTCACGGCGCTGTCCTTCATCACCAGCCGCTTGTGCGACACCAGGAGCTTCTCCAGCGGAAAGATGACGCGCCGCAGGTACGACTCGTCTTTGTTGTGGTCAAACTGCCACTGCGCGTCCAGGATGTCGTGCATGGTCACCAGGTTGTCCTGAGGCGGGATGGAAGAAAATAAGCCAAAGAAAGACAAGACACCACAAATCGTAATGGGAAGGGGGAGACTGCCAATTGACTCTTTAATTCTACAAGACGTACGCACGTTTACGTCTGTTTAAAATTAGGCCCCGCCCACCAATGACGTACTTGTACGTCTAAGTTTTTTGGGTCATAGTGAGGAGGAGGGTCTGACGCAATCTGTGAATGAGAATAAGCCATTTGCATTGTAAATCATGTAAAAAAAGCGACCAGTAGGTGGCAGTGGTGCCTCACGCGCTTGAAAAAAAAAGAGCTCTTTTTCTCCCGTTTTTTTTTTTTGCCCAGGAATCGCCATTTTCATGAAACTTTGCCATTTTGTAAAGCCGATTGCTGAAGAATGGAAAAAGATAGAAACACTTTTTTTCCTGCTGAAAGAAGAGAGTCCAAACTTTATTTTGGTCGGCTCCGTGTTTATATGGCGTTAGAAGCAAATATTCTTGTGTGCCAGGATCAGTCAAAATCCCGTCAAACGCTGGGATTGAGGGGGTTGCTCCAGTGAAAATGGCTGCGATTGAAGGAGTTAAGGAGGAAAAGCCACGCCTGGGTGGTCTCCGACATTCAAAGCGAAGGGGGACCGCTCCGATGTCAGCAGCTGAGAATTGACATGTCAAATCTCAGCTGCGCGTTTGCTGTCCCAAAGTTTAATTGGCAGCGCGACACCAGCAGTCGAACTGAACTCAACACTTTGGCGTCAGCCGGGACACCGAATCCCAAACCGTTTTGGGGCCGAGCGCATCCGTTTCTTGCGTTTGGGGGGGGGTGCCAACAGTTTCTCTTTTGCGTTCGCGTCGGGCAGCATGAAGGCCGAGCCCACCTTCTCTCCCATGACTCCGGAGCGGACCCTGCGCAGCTCCTGCATCTGGCCCCCGACGCCCAGCAGCAGGCCCAGGTGGACGCACAGCGTCCTGATGTAGGTCCCCGCCTCGCAGCTCACCCAGAAGATTCCTGGAAAACGACAGGGGGGAGGCGTCAAAACCCCGCCCGGCGCCGAGCTCCCTCCCCGCCCACAGCTTACCGAGCCGCCTTTCGGCGTCGTACTCCACCAGTTTGCTCTCGTAGATGGTCCGCACCCGCAGCTGGCGCTTGACGGCGGCAATGAGCGGCGGCCGCTGGAACAGGGCGCCCGTCAGCGTCTCCATCGCCTGAAAAGAGCGCCGTCACTGGGCCGGATGCCAATCCCAAGGGGCGAGCGCAAACGTGCCCGTGCGAGAGGGGCCAAAACATTCCGCCGCGTGTGATTTCGGAAAAGGATCCTTAATTCGACGACCGATCGCCAGTAGCGCATTGACGGCTAACTCTACGCCTACGCCCGCTGGGCCCCAGTCTCAAAGAAGCGCACGACCGTTGACTATTTCCAAGTCGGTCCCCAAGAGCGGCAAAGCGCGACTTACTCTGGCCAGCGCGTGCTCGCTTTCGATGGCGTTGTGCAGCCGAACGATCCCCACATACTCTTTCCCTGCAACACACAGCGGAAGGGAAGGAGTGGGCGCGGCTGCTTTTGTTTGCTTTGGAAACGGCTCGGCGAGGCCCAACCCACCAGGATGGACCTTCCGCTTCCCGCCGACAGGGGTTGTTGGGGGGGGGGCTGTGCGTACCTGCGCTTTGCTGGGATTTGACCAATCGCGTGGCTCGGTCCACGCACACGATGAGGCAGCCGGTGACTTTGGGGTCCAAGGTGCCGCTGTGGCCCGTCTTCTCCACGCGCAGGATGCGGCGGATCCACGCCACCACCTCGTGAGAAGAAGGGTTGGCCGGCTTGTCCAGGTTGATGAAACCCGACCTGCGGGGGAGGGGGCGGGGCCACCCAACTGGCATTCAGATTCCATTCCACAATATGGACGCCGTATGCCACCATTCGCTGTTTTCCAAAAGTTTCAATAACAGCTAAAAGCGTCCATTGCGACCTTTCGTTTTGCACGGGGTCTTCCCGCCTTACTTGATGTAATCCTGGATGTTCCTCTTGAGCGGGTTGCTCCCGCTGGGGATCGGCGTGTAGTGGGCCGTGCGCACGTTCAGCTTGTCGAAGTTCTACAACAAACAGCTGTCGTTACTTCCCGGAAGTGCACGGGGGGGGCCACCGACCGAGCGCGAGCGGAGCCATCAGACCAAATGTCATCTTTGGGGCCACCCGCCCGGTGGCCCTCTTAGCCGCGCCGCTCCGGCCGCGGCGCTTCGGCAGGACACCGAACGG